TTATTTCATTATGGAAATTTAAAGCACAAACATTTCACAGAAACACTAAATAGATGTCATTTTTGTAGGCTGCAAGAGGCCTGTATCAGTGTATGGTCGAAGGGAGACAACTTGCAGCGTCTCCAATGCGGAATGTTCTACTCTTTCCATCAGTGCGTAAAATCCGAAGTGGTTTTGAAGTGTTCGAAGTAATATGTGACAATTAACATAATTGACTGGGTTTGCTCTGACACGCCAATCAGTGAAGAGCTTTCATTTCTTCTTTTCACCAACGGCACAATTTTATTGTTTCAATTGTTAGCTGCGTTGGATCATTGTTTACAAGTTTCATGCAGCGATAATGGTGAACAATGAGTCAGCTGTGCGAAAGATCGATGGGCATGGCTTGACAAGAAAGTGACTTTGACGTGTGAATCGGGAAGAAAGATGAAGTGGTAACTGGAAAATTGAGTGACTACATCGGCAAGTGCGAGGTCCCGAGAACAGTGTCTGTATTGTAACGATTTGATCAACTCCGGTTCTCAGACCCCGGCTACTTTACTTTCAGCTGAAAATCTCATTCTCATCCCTGTGTTTCACTCCTCAAACCATGCTACTAAGCAGCATAGAACGCTTTGGCTGTGCAACATAAACACCTGTATGACTATGCTGAAACAGAAAAGAAGCCGATGTGAAGTGATTTAAGTTAGTTTGAATAAATATGATTTTATTTTTACATCACAAATGTAGCAATGCAAAGCCAATAGAACACAGTGAATAATTTTCTATCGTCTGATAATGTAATTATTGTAATAAAAAGAGAGCACTGCTCCCTTGTACATAGAGCATACAGTGTAATGGGACAAGAAGCAAGTAAGTAAAACAAATTTTTAGTGTCACACTATAGTATGAGTAATAAAATTTAAAAAAAAAGGCTGTTCTTTGAAGAAAAGCTTAGAATTATCTAATGTATGAACATGTGACTAATGTCTAACCATAAACTTGTGTATTATCACTTTCACATCACCCTTATTTAACTTGTATCGCACCACACTGGGGACCATTCTTTTATTACACATGGATAACCTAGTGCAGTGGTTAAAATAATGATGAGAATGTGAGAGTGATAGAAAGTGATAAATGCACGATACAACAGAAATAAATAATAACTGGTTACACAAACATCGTATCACATTTATACTGCTGAGATTAAGATGGATATTCAAAATTGTTGAAAAAGTTAGTCATAAATGGCATGTTAATATTCATTGGTTTATTATTCATATGGAATATATTCATGGCAACATGAAACTGCACCAGTGTGTAACAGTATTGCAATTTTAGAAAATGAGCCAGATATTCAAAGAAAATTTAAAATTACAATGAAGAAAATAATATAGCGTTTTTTATCATTTTTAAAAACCTAGTTTTTCTACTGATTGAAACATTTTTTACCATCTGGCAATGCATTGTCACATGCTACACTAGTACTACACTCAAACCTGGGCTAATGACCACCTGCAGTCTTGAACCAGTGACCGGCCTATTTGTTCAAATAAACCTTTGTAGGCCAAAATGATAGATGGTGTTTTGTGTTTCACACTAGTCTCCACAGTATTCATATTCATAAATCAAATATTTAATTAGCCTTCATATAAAGACCTCTTGTCTATAACGGACATTTTTTCTAGTAATTTGGGTGGTCAGTATTAACAGGTTTGACTGCAGTATGGAGTGAAAAATAGATAAAAGTTTAGAATATACAAGATAAAACAAATGAACATTAATTTAAAAATATGAAATAACTTAAATAAATGAAATAGAACAGAAACGGTTATCTCATTCGGCAATGGATAGTCAGTTCTATCATGATATGAGATTTTAAGACCAATGCGTACGAGTTCCTACCACGGCACTGTAATGGACATAGGAGGTTGAGCACTCCACGACTCGTCATTGAGAACATAAATATCCCTACCACGGCACTGTAATCGACGTAGGAGGTCGAACACTCAACGACTCGCGATTGAGCACGTAAATAACCCTACCACGGCACTGTAATTAACGTAGGGGGTCGAGTACTCCACGACTCGTCATTGAGCACATAAATATCCCTACCACGGCACTGTAATCGATGTAGGAGGTCGAACACTCCACGACTCGGGATTGAGCACGTAAATATGCCTACCACGGCACTGTAATCGACGTAGGGGGTCGAACACTCCACGACTCGGCATTGAGCACATACATATTCCTATCAGCACACATGTCACTGTGACTTTCTATGTCATAGATTGGGAATTTCTGTTGACATAACGGGCATGGTACAAGATCCACAGTAGAAACATTGCCTCCAGTATTTGACTGTCTAGCAGTCGAAACACCACGATTGTCATTCATGTCCAAGGTAGGCTGAGAACCAATACACATGGCGGCGTGGGCTTCTATTAAGTTTGTAGAGTACAGACCTGATAAAAAAAAGAGATAATATGAATAATTTTACAGTAATAAATTTGGGTCAGAGATCAAAACTTTGTTAAGATGCAAGGGTTAGATAATTAGTATAAATTTTAGCTGAGTGAACAGTTTTTTTCTACTGTTTTCTACATGTCTGATCAGTGTTAATTGAAGCAGTATTAATGTACAATTGAACATATGAAGAACCCGTGACAGAATATCTTACCTTGGCATAGCGGGCATGACACGTCGTCTGTAGTCGAGCTATCGGTTAATACAGACGAACAGCAATCATCAGTAGTTAAATCAATACCTGAGAATGCTTGATTTTGTTTTTCTTTATTGCCTCCTCTTCCTCTGCCCCTTCCCCTACCACCTCTACTAGTATTGTTTGGTTTAGGGGATGGAACTGATGAGCTGCAAACAAATGAAAAATAAATATGATTTACAAAAGCGTCATTGCCAAGAAATAAAATAAGACTGTTGTGATATTTAAAAGTGCATGCGCTACCAATAGCGGTAATTATGTACAGCAATTTATAAAACTATATAGATTAAATATTTAGGAACTGTATACCGACACTTACAATGAGATAGATTGGTATATACAGTTTCATGATCTAAATTAACGGCACATACCAGCCATGGTCAAACACTAATAATTAATATTTATCTAAGCTTCTCCTATACTCAAAGTCACATTTGTAATAGTTTTTTGGTCTAACCAGTGTATATAACGATCTCTTTTGTGTTGTGCTAGTGTTTATTATTCCAGATGGCTGTATACATGTACTCACCTATTCTGTTTGCCACGCCCCCTTCCTCTACCTCTACCCCTGCCACGCCCCCTTGCTTTTGGAGTGCTGGTATTATTATTTGTATCCCACAATGACATTGCATCTGTTGACATCTTGCTAGTGACAGGCGATTTCAGATTGGTTTCTTTGTTGGAGGCTGGTGTCCTACAAGTGATGTTGGTGTTATTTGATTGCGTTCTGAATGTGCTGGGTGTGCGAGACGAGAGTCCATTCTTATCTGGTGTTTTGGAAGGGCTGTCATTACTCATTGTTGTCTTGGAAGTATTTTCTGTCAGTGAATCAGAATAACAGTAATTCCTTGCTGTTGTACTGAAAGAGTTTCTTAATGATGTCCCGATAGCACGGCCAATTCTTTCAGGTGTTAGGTAACGTCTTGTTGGTGTGCTATGGCAGCTGTAATTTCTCACAGGTGTACAAGAAGAAGTGCTAGCATTACTTGTACTGGCATTTCTTTCCGGTGTTCTGGAGGCAATGTCACTCATCATAAAGTTAGAATCTATCCTAGCTGTATTGTTACTGGGTTCAATTTCGTCTCTGGTTTCCATGGCATTAATCACAAACTCTTGAGCAAGGGCCATGAATATTTTTTTTTCTTCTTTATTGAATTTACGTTGAGCTTTATCTTCATACCGACGACGCAAATCTGTCAGAAGTACAAAGAAAAATCCAATCATGTCAGAAAGAGAACGGTTCTCCATGACAAGACTCGTTTGTCTGTAATGTATGTTGCCTACTGGGTATATAGTTACCTACGATACTATTTAGTTGTACAAAAAGGTAATTTTACTACATTTAGTGTCAAGCTCCTTATAAATTGTTCAACTGGCTTTTACATGTACATTCATGTAAGTAACACACTAATAGCTTGTTTATTCACCAGCTAGTATGAGGCGAGCAGTTAAACAAATATATATATATATACTTGATACCATCATGCCATCAACACGATCAAATCGCGGCAAATATTATGTTATTTGATTTTATCCTAAAATAATGAATCACTATTAATTGAATCAACTAAAAAATATCCTTTAAAGTTATGCAAAATTTCCATTTATATGTACATACTATGAATTCATGAATTATTTTTACTGCTGCAAACTTTTACGGTAGTTAAAAACAATATTTTATGACTAAAGTTACACACAAAACCAACAGATCTGATTCTCTGATTCACCCAAAGTACAAACCGAAAAAAATGTCAAAAGGTTCAGTATTTTCTGAGAGGTCTTTGTTTACTGTGACATCGACAACCTGGTGTGCCATGTGCTAATAAATAAATGGATGTGAATACATTACGCATCATTAAGAAAAGTAATTCTTACCTGCATAAGTAATATTATCAAAGTCCATCGTGGAAAAATCAATATTCTTCAAATAAGTGTTAACTTGCATTTCAAACTGAAAATAATTGAATGTAAATTGTAAATAGTGGTAGACAAAATTTATACACAGAATAACTACTTATTATCTCTTTAAATATCCTGAACATTTCATTCAAGTTTGACCATGAACATTCAATGTATGAGTATTGTTTACACATACCGTACTCGACCCCGTTAGCGCCCATGCTCGGTCAAGCACCCACCCCCCACTTTTGCGCAATTTTTATATTCGGGGTCACATTCGGCAAAGCGGGCACCCCTTAAAAATGCCAATAATTTATCGTTTTTATATGATACAGCGTGGATATCGACCGCCGTGAATATGTTGTGAATGCGTAGACCACGGTAACGGTGCGTAAACTTCGACAATGACCTGTTAATAAAAGTAAAATGCAGTAAATATTTCATGCCGTATTCAGTTTACAGATAAAAATTGCTATTTACCATTTAAAAAAACAAAAACATGTAGTTTATTCGCCGAAATCAACTCCAACAGATCGTACTTCTACATCGATAATTCACTTTCGCATTGCGTTACCCGAGGGTCTTCAGGAATTTCTGAAGAATTGCGCCGGTACCACACAGCATTTTGATTGGATAACAATAGACTTGACCTGTTAGGTCAAACGACGTTGATGCAGGTCAAATGCAAATACATCATGGCGGAAAGAGTTTGCGTACGATCGGACACATTTGTCAGTGGCGATAATTATGAAGATTTTGACTTTAACTGTGTTTCAACAGACTCAAATATTTTTAATCTGTTAATTCGGATGGTACGTAATTAATATTGTAATAAAATGTGCATATTTGACTATTTCTGTTTCTTCATTGTAAGAGTCAATGACGACTCACCTAATTTCGTAATTTTATTTTCCCTCAAACTTTCAAAGACGAGATATCCCCCTAAATCTGTCACACAGTGAATTAAAATTGTCAGTTCCCCTAAAAAATCTTGATTTTATGAGTTGAGGACCCTGGGCGCTGACGCGGTCGAGTACGGTAATAGAACATGATGACTACATTTTATTAATAATTAGAGCACTGAAGTCAACTTTTGTCACCTTTCCCCAAACAAAAGCAGGGATTTTTTTAAACAAGGGAACAAGGACGCCCTCATGCCATGCGTCCCCTTACCCTGGGGAACAGATCCTCTAGCAACCATAAAATTCTGATTGACCAGGGATCACATGTCTTCAACTGTGACCTGATAGTAATTTTGGTCTCAAGGAAGCCATAGAATGCTCCATTTTAACTCAGAATTATCAGAAACTCCACTGGTAGGGAGAACCCTGCCTCGTCCACTTGGTGGCACCGCTAAATTGCAATGCTCCCTCTTGCAGTTCTTTTTCTAGAGAATCCCCTGAAAAGTGTATAATTTTTATAAAAAATTCAATTATGGATTATATCAAATGGGAACTGAGAAACTGTTGCTTCAACATTTTGGCAGAAAAATTCTGCTGTTTGAAGAGGTTATATGAGAGCATTGCTGAGGGTGAAATCTGTCACCTTTATTTTCTGTACCTTTAAGGTAGCGAGAAGGTTTTGTGACATTTTCGAATAAAACATTCTCTGTCTGTTGTTTCGTTCAGAACAGTAATTTAGCTTATATATTTCAAAAGACTAAGTATAGAGGTACAAGTTCGCACAAACTGGACAGTCATTGTTTACATAATTATCACATGACATCAAAAATGGTGAACCTTGTAAAAATGACTAAGTCCGCGATTGCGAGAGCACACTGCGGAATTTCCTGGTGAAATTTACGTCATGCATTGTCCGTAATCAAGTCCATTGAAATGTGTCCCCGGTAATCAAAAGACCTATTATTCCGATTTCTATGCAGGTTTGTTTTTTTGTCCCCAAATTATTTCATACTTGGCACCTTTAACAGACTATTATTCTGTGACAAAGCATTTTCTTTAAAAACCCAGACATATTTCGCACAGTTTTGGTTAATGAAACACTGTAGATTTGCTGCATTATTATAAATATACACTAAAAATGGCCAAAAATATTAACCTCTGATACAATAGAACTCATAAAATGTCAGATAATGAATAATTTCATGCTCGAGCATGAAAAATGAAGAAAACTGCTGGCATTTGAGTCCGTACTCCAGGAACGTTTGGGTTTCCATTGTTATGCAAACGCACAACGAGGGATAATCCTCTGACAAACATTACTGTCCCACTGTACACGCTGACAGTTTACAAACATGCTAATCCTTCAAGTGTCTCTGATAAGAGATCTAATAAAACGGTTTTCATGGTGAAACAAAATGGCCGATGTTTGAAAAAAATTGCTGTTTCAGACTGCGACACTGAGTGGCAGATTTTTCTTTGCCTCGTCTGTCAACGATTTGGCTTGGACTGAATATTTTATTTTGAACAATATTCTGATGTGAAATGTATTTCAACACAAGTACGACATGTTGTCTGGGTTTTCTTTCCTGATTGTTGAGTCTTCGCAATGTGTTTTGTATAATTATTGTTGTTTTTCCCCCCGAGGCAAAGACAAGCTGAAGGACCATGAAGCTAAATGGCAGTTTCATGCAAGGGCTGAGTGTGTATTTGTTTATTTTACATATGTTTTTAATGACAGTATGTCTGTAAATATCTAGAAAAATCTCGTTTTCGTTGATAATTTTGATTGTTTGGAATGTCTGTTTACCGTGTCCCAATAATTTGTTTGGAATGTCGATTCCAGTTGGTTTCTCCATACTGAGTTTAGGAAGGGCATCGATCAACACAATCAGCCGAAACGGGACAAACATTTACCGTAATTCATGGGGATCATGTCCGTAATTTGTGGGCTGAGACCCCAAATAATTTAACAAGTACTATTATTATTATAATATATATTTTAATTACATCGCAAAACTACAACAGAGCTGGAGTTGTTCGCGGTGAAACAACCGCCTTGAAGTCGATGCAACTAGCCATTTCTTACTAAAAATTCGAAGAGCATCGGGGAAAATATTAATAATCATTCTTATCAATCGCTTGCTTTATTTTATTCGAATCCACGAAATTCATGAGTTTTTTGACATTTGTTGGCAACTTCCGCTCTAAAAAAGATTGAAAATGTGGGTGTGGTTCTTTTGCGAGGTCCTGTTGATAATACGGACAAATATGGTTCTGTGACCCAGGTTGTGCTCCGATCATGTGACTTTCAACCAATCAATGATGTTGTAACAAAGCATATTTGACGCTAATTGAAAGGTCGTCGTAACATCCAATTTCCGGCGTCGATTCACATAGTGTTTTTGTGCTGTGACCGGCTTCAAAATTCGCTGAAAAACATCGGTATATTTTGACAAACGGATGGAATTTGACCTCAGTTCAGAAAGAAAATACTAGGCTTAGATACATTTAGAGTCCACGGCGAATCAGTTATCTCTGCGAGTTGGGAAATAAAGTAAACCAGAGTAGGGTCGATGATTTTCAGCCCTGAAGAACTTCCGTGTGAATCCTGAGTTACGAATTGTTCATCGACTGGCCACCAAATATTTATGACTATAACTAAATTTGACACGTCTGTTCGATTTTTTCAGGCCGTTTTTAGTCGAAAATATTTGTTGTGGGAACACTTTTACGGTACTCATTCAATGATCGTGACTTATTTTTGAAAATTGAATGTCAAATTTTACCAGACATGGACCGACGT